AAACCAGGAACAAAGTTATATTGGATTATAACGATACTCGTGTCCATGTTGGTTGAGAAATATCAATAAATCAGGAACAAAGTTATATTGGATTATAATGATACTTATATACATGTTGGTTGAGAAATATCAATAAACCAGGAACAAAGTTATATTGGATTATAATGATACTCGTGTCCATGTTGGTTGAGAAATATCAATAAATCAGGAACAAAGTTATATTGGGTTATAATGATACTCGTGTCCATGTTGGTTGAGAAATATCAATAAATCAGGAACAAAGTTATATTGGATTATAACGATACTCGTGTCCATGTTGGTTGAGAAATATCAATAAATCAGGAACAAAGTTATATTGGATTATAACGATACTCGTGTCCATGTTGGTTGAGAAATATCAATAAATCAGGAACAAAGTTATATTGGGTTATAATGATCAATACCGTATTTTCCGATGTATAAGACGATACTTTTTACTCTTAAAACAATGCCTGATTTTACCCTTCGTCTCGTTTACAGGTTCAAAGATAGAGAAAGATAATAGCATATTTAACCCAAACTATTCTGTTACTTTACTCTTTTTTTTTCCAGTAAGTGCGTTGACATCGTGCCATCTACTGTATTACAATAACATATTTGTAATTGTACCATATGTCTCAATTCTTCATAACTAGAAGTTATTTATCTCACTTGCTAGTTACAAATAATCAAGACATTTTTGATTTGAAATGTACTGATCTCATCCGTCATACTAAAATATTATATATATAAAAAAGTTAGTTTCTGTAACGTACGCTAATTTCGTAAACATGTTTTTATAATAGATCGCTATATCTTGAGGTTTAGTATCTTTTGTAATAGAAAAGGAGTTTAACTGTGTTGAAAACTTAGTTAAATTGTTTATAACATGTTTGTGATTTAAGTTATGCCGCATTGAGCTGTCTGTAGCATTTGAAGAGCATAAAAAACCACACTTATGGTTGTATTGATTACCCCAGAGCGCAGGTTAGCACACTTTAAAAATAACTTCTAAGAATTTCTTTACAAAAGGAACATTCTAGACTTGAATGGGTAATGAAGAAGAACTTTAATATAACAGCAAATGTACAACGTTTCGACAAGGTTTTGTCATCATCAGGTTATGTTAAACTTATATTAAAGTTTTTCTTCATTACCCATTCAAGCCGTCTCCAACCATTATTAGTCTCAAAGTGGGTTCCTCGTCATCGAATTTAAATCCTAGACTTGTTCCACAATAGAGGTAGTCCTATACACTGAACCTCAAAGAAATACACTTAATTTGTTAAAAAAATCCAGGGTCGTCTTATACACCGGCAAATACGGTATATCCGTGAAGGTTGAGAATAATTAGAGCATCAGACTTACCTATTAAAACAGTACAAAAACCATGCACCTTCTTCAATCATTAATAACAAGTTCAGCATACAAGAAAGAAACACGATGCATGAAAATAACACTAAAACTACTAAATATGGACCACATGATAAATGCCATAGTAAAAACGTTGATTGTGAAGTAACTTGTGACAGATACTCTAGTACGTATATAGGAGAAACTTGCCGACCCGTACATGATCGAATATCTGAACATGTGCGTAACATCCAAAACCTCAATACTAACAATGCTATTGCAGAACATTATGGAAACGAACATGGCTTACCACAAGCGGATAATACCTTACTGGATGTCAAGATCTTATTTAAATGTCATAATATTTTAAACAGAAAAATTAAAGAATCCATTTTAATCAAGAAATCGAAAATGAACAAATACAAAGGTTGGCCTTTAGTGTATAGATGTTAATGGTATTTTAAATATCTTAATATGTTGAATTTTGACGAAGTCTCTATATACACTTATAAGGGTTGAAATATATGTTTTATGCATGTATTGATATAATAAGATGGAAAAATACTTACCAATACATGTTTTAGATACGTAACGTATTCTATTCTAAATCTAATGATGTTAATAGTTTACTTATTGGTTTACACATGCTACTTATTTAGCATTGTTGGTTTGATTTGTCTTAACAATATAAATTCAATAATGTTTGATATTATTCTGATATAATGTGAACTTTCTAAACACGTGTATCAATCAATGTTCGATTTACGGATGACAGTGTTCCAATTTAGATTTAACTGGACTAGTGAACTTGTAGGATATGGATAGCTCCTGAAGAAGCTGTAATAGTGAAATACTGAGCTAATAAAGTTACATTCTGGAGATATAGATCGTGATTTTATTGAATTTTAATAAAATGAATAGATCAAAACAAGAAGCACAAAAAGGAATTGAAGTTATTTAGACTTGAATGTTTGTATATTTTCTTTTACCAGCATCTCGTAGTTTGAAGTTAGGTTCAGTTTATATACCTTTTAACATCGAGTTATGAAATATCAGTGTTATTACTGAATGTGCTGCCATAGAGTTTGTTTATATGTGTACCAAGACTGTTACTTATTGCAATTCAAACTACACAAGTGAACGGTTATTTGCACTTTATAAGAACGATTTGCACACGCAGCTCAATGGCATGTCGCCACAGATGTAAGCCGTGGCGCCATGTTTAATTAACATACATATATATTTGGTTAACGACGAATTTTAGACTATTCGATACTGCAATACCGCCACAGATAGCCTTAGACGGAAGGTTTCTGTTACAGTCTTTCCTGATGATATTTGTATTTTGCAATGATTTTTAACCGATATAAAGCCAAAGAGCACAACATTTCCAACAAGGGAATCGTCTTATACTGTATAACGCTTAGACAAGAACAGGCTTCAAACTACACAGCAAGCTCTCATTTATAAAGTAAAGGTATGAGTACGAAAAAAATTCTCTGACCCAAAATTAACTTTCGTGAAACTGGGCAAATCTGATGGTACAGTTAACAATATAATGAACAATAAATCTCACAAGCAAAACTATCCTAAGTTACCAGCCACAAATCAAAACCTGCGGCTGCAGTGTGGTATTCAAGTATAGAGTTTTTAGCATGTGTCCTCTACCTGTGTCAAAGGATTAGTACATGCTTACGACTTTAACACATCATGTGAACAAGAAGTCCGTAATTACATGCAGAAAGTGCGTATACATTAAAAAAAAAATTACTTGAACATACCTGAATAAAGATACATTCTACGGTAGTTATGGTCAGGTCAAATTCGGCCAGATATATGCCAAGTCCCCTGATGCAGCTCTAATCCATGCCCACCGATGTCCACCTGTGGAAAGACTGTCAACATTCGTGGTCTAAGATCGATTTCACCGGTTTTCACAGAATTTTGTTACAATAAACATTTCGGTTTCGGGCAATAGTGCGTAATTATAGCCATCATATTTAGCACAGTCAACGCTGAAGAAGCAGCTCCAAGGTCAGCTGGGATCCGAAAGGTTGTTATACTATAGTGCGATTAACCCCCAGTGATGATAAAGTACAATTTCTTATTCATCTACAGGTTGCAGAATCAGAATTTTCTCACGACCACAACGGACGTTCTACAGCGTCCTCTCTATTCGGACGCGTTCGTCATCTCCATAAAGATGTGAAAAAGAGGATATCCCGACTTAAGTCTTCCCGTAGCATAGTCGATACCGAGGTAAGGGTCTTCCTAACGACCGATGGATTTATTTTTAATTTCTCAAAAGGAGTAAGAGACTGTACATTGTTTTATTGAATGTATTGGAAAAGGGAATTAAATTATTGATGGAACCAGTTGTTTTTAATTCCTTAATACAATAAGTAATGTAATTCAAACAAAACAAATATACATAATCGACATGTTTAAGTTTTATCACCTTGAGGCATTGTTTTAACTACTCTTTAATGGACGGGTGACACCTAGTGGTTGGCGGGCTCGAGCCTTAAATCCAAGGTTTGATGGTTCGTAGACCGTTGCAATAAAAATGCACTCTGCATTTTGGGGCCGTGAGTGCGCTAAAAGAGTGACGGTCTAATTTCTCTATTCCATCAGACAAGAGTAGCCCAAGAACTGGCGGTGTGGGCTATTAACTAGCTGCTTTCTCTCTCGTCTATCAATTCAAAAGTAAACGAATATGCCCAGATAGCCCTTTGTATAGCTTTGCGCGAAAACTCTGGAACAAACAGATCCGTTCTTTTCTTACCTTTTCTTTTAACGTCCAGTAAAAATGGTTCTGTCATAATTGTCATTAAAGGACATTTTTATCTTTTGTCGCATAGCGTTGCAAGTTCAGCTTTTATTAATTATTTAAACTTACTTCCGGGGCAGAATGGCATCATCTCTAAATGTTAATAATTACCCTTAGATTTTGTATAATAACTTAGTTGTTTTCTTTTCTTTTTTTTCAAGGCTTGGTAGTTAGGGGACTCGAGTCGCGAATTCGAATCCGTATTCGAACATGCTCGCCCTTTTAGCCGTGGAGGCATTATAATGTTACGGTCAATCCCACTTTTCTTTGATAAAAAATGTAGCCCAACAGTTGGCGGTGGGTGATATCGATTGGGTGCCTTTCCTCTAGTTTATCACTTCTAAATTAGGAACGGGAAGCGCAGGTAATTCTAGAGTAGCTTTGTGCAAAATTCCAAAGATAAACAAAATACATTTTCTCAAACTACGAACCACCATCACTACTAACAGGTGGTTAGGGCGCTCGACTCGCAATCTGCGGGTCGCGGGTTCCAATCCCCATCCCACCAAACGTGCTCGCCCTTTCAGGCGTGGAGGTGTTATAATGTGACGGTCAATCCCACTATTTCGT